AAATTTATTGAGAAATTCGAGTGCTGTCCAAGAGACATAAAGGATGCAATTGTAAAAACAAGAAATATTTTTTACAATGGCCAGCATTATGGATGTGCACTAAGGAAATCAGGAAAAGTTGATATTTATTGGAACTATACTATAAAAGAAACAATTGCAGATAGTAACTTCATAATAAAATTAAATTTTTTTAGGAACATTTCTTGATATTGAAATGAGCTTAAAAACATTCTATTTCAAATTAGAAAACCATCAAATATATGGCTTTGAGCACTAATCTAGTACAAATCCTTCGTACTAGAAAGCTAAAGCAATTCCACCTTATGAGTTTTAATTTGATTAAGCTTATCTTCAATTAATCCTTAGTAGAGCAAAAATCTTTGTAGGATACAATATTCTCAACATGAATGAGGGTCCTGCATTACTACTTGCTCATGGAAAGTTCATCTCTGTATTCAGTGTTGATAATTAGAAATGGGTCAATCATGTCGAATTCGAAAGCGATATTTAGTATTTGATAAGACATAAAAGTCTGAATGGTGGAACAGTCACATCAATTTTGCTTCATGATGGTTCTTTGTATTGTGATCTCCTGACAATATTGTAAAAAGTTCAAAAAATAGAGAAAAATTTATTGACATGTAAAATTAATGGTAAAATTATGCGATATACAGCGGATACATGGCAGTATTTAACTTTATATGCAAACATAATGAGAGAAAAATAATCTGATATAATTTGCATAGTACAGGGAAAAGAACAAGTAATTGTAGAAAACACAAAATCAACTGCAGCTGTAGCTCTACTAAAAGTCTCCAACGACTCAAATCTAAGATTAGTGATCTAAATAGGTAATGAAATGACAATTTACTTAGAGAAGGTCACTGGGCAAGAAGTAAAACTTGAATAAATTAGAAAATTTAAGGATATAAGCTCATTCATATTGCATTCTGCTTTATCCTATGATATCAATGATCATTTAGTTTTCTTTGATAAAACAGACTGTTTTTTAATAAAATTCCACGATGAAGAAAAAGATGAGGAAAAAAAGTATGAATGGATTAGAGATACTAAAGTAAATTGTTTAAGTATTTAATCAGTCTCTAAGGAGTATAATTATATTCTTTGCAGAGAAGACGCAGAATCTACACATGGAGAATTAAAATTTTTTGATCTAGAGAATTTACTTTAAAACAAAAAACTTAATGTTTCATTACTATAGAAATATGAAATGGGTTGTTAAACCCTTTTCGAATGGGGTAAAGGCTTAGAAAGATTGACATTCTTGAATTCAGTTACAACCATGATTATTACCCCCATTTTGCATTTAAATGAAAACAAATTAATGGGAATACCTATAAGAAATTTTATAAGCTAGAAAATAATCGGAGATTAAATAATAAAATTGGAATTAAATGGAGAGATTTATAGTTGGAATATATTCACAGGGAAGTTTCTTAAGAAATCAAAAATTTTGAATTTTGATATTCCTAAATATGCTATTCCAACTTATTAATAAAATGACCTTGGAAAAACGCTTATGAAAAGTAGAGAATAAGTTACTGTCGAAAAAGATAAAGAGCATGAATTCTTTTTACCTTGGTAATTTTAAGCAAATATTGAAAATGCTAAAACTTTCGAAAATAATTACTAACATAAGTATTTAAATTGGATTTATTTCGAAATAGTTTCAGATGAATATGTTAAGATTTTGCTACAATTTATTAAACCTTTTT